TAGATTTCAGGTCTAGCAGAAAGTCATGAGGCAGGAATCTCATATTAGCAGTTGAGTTAAGGGGTAGCCTTATGGTCCGTAAAACAGATGCCCATAGGTCCTGTGATGGCAGCTGGCAGACAGACTGGATATTACGAAGGCTAGGTGGAAGAATGCGACCTAACTGCTGTAACAAAGATAAAGCCAGAAGGGCATAAGCACACTTTCTGATTAACTGACACAGGCATGCCAAAGAAAAAAAAGTCCTAATCATGGCAAGGTTGCCAGACAAAGATCGATGGCTGCTCCTAGAGCGGCACTTTGATCAATCTGACCTTGACTATGGAGCAGAGGCACCAGCAAGAACCTCTGCTGTAACTGCACGAGTGCAAGTAAACAGACTACACATGCACAGTATCTGGGAGCCAATGGCCCCAAGAATAACTGCACAGAACACAGGAGTGTTTCACTGCAGAGGTCTGCTAGCCACCGCTACTGTCAGGAACTGAATCACACAAAGTCCCTTTGATGTCCCACACCCCGTCCGCCAGAAGAGCAGCAGGTACCTCAGAAGGGGAAACGGAAGCTGCCGTCACACCAAACCTGAGGCAACTATCATGTAAATGGAGCTTTAGTGGGAAAATCCCGCTTAGACCCCTCAGCCCACTATGTAATCACTAACATATTTAACTGCTGAAAAGTTACCTTTGCCTACACAACCTACACAAACTGCTACAGGAAATTCAGCTCTGCTAATTTCAGCTAGTCCAGTTCATCTTACCACCTACATGAAACAAGCCATCATCACCTTACCACATATATCACTCACATATCATAATTTCAAGGCATCAACTCAAAAATCCAAATGCAGAGCAGAAAAAAAATTAAACAATCTTTAGCAAAATGTATCTTGGGCAACCTCACCCCGATCCCATCAGCCCAGCTAAATTTATCGTGGGGGAATTTAATCATGTCACTGAGCCCAATGCCAAGCCCAGAATTGGTATACTCTATGTGAAGGAACAAAGAGTTTAAAATTGATTCGTAAATACTCTTCTTAATTGCTGCTATTCCTGTGTATATACTGTAAATAAGAACATTCATTCTTTGTTCTCTTTTTTATTGTGCAAAAGCAACATGCCGGTATAGTCATCTGATACAGATGTTACTGTCACAGAAAATGCTCGTTGGAATGCAAATGAGAAAAAGAAAATAAATATTAAGACATAAAAATATTAATAGAATCAATGACACTGTCCAACACGGACATTAAACATACACAAAAAAATACAGGCAACCATCTATTTGGTGGGGAAAGATTTAAATTGTAAATTAAATTGTTATACAAGTGGAATATGCAATAAATGAATAAGTGTAGTTTAAGACCTACATATCACATCAAGGACTCGGCGTGTTCCGGCAAAAAACACATTTATTAATAAATACATTTCCCAGTGATCCAACCAGTACTTCTATAAATTGCACAGGGTGGTGAGTATGAGATAAGGATGGATTAGGTAGACAGAACAGGTGATGATCCAGGGAATGCTGGGCTGTCATTCAGACAGCCCTTTTTTGGCTAATTGTAGCTGGATTTGAACTATTATGCATGTGCTGTCGGAGGGTGTGGCGGCAAAATACTCTGGAAGATGGAAAAAGAGCCATCCATGTTGGTGACACAATCACAGACTCTTTCAAAGACTGAAAAAAGATAAGTACAGGTAATCTGGGAAGGCTGCCTGCCAATGGGATGGGGTTGGGCAGGGGTTGGGAGTGACAGTGCCAGCCAGTCACAAGCGACCACTGCTTCTGGTGCCCAGATGGGGGCACCAGAAGCAGCACATGACAGGCCTGACCATGCGAGGACAGGCAGCACAGGCTGCCTGGCCCCCAGCGAGACAGTCGATTTTCATCAGATGGACACAGGACAGATATATAGATGGATGAGAGGATGGAGGAGCAACGGAAATGGCTGCAGCCCACACAGCCCAGAAAGAGAGGGAGTGTGACTCGTGACTCATTGACAGACTTCATGTCAGCTTCAGCTGAGGAGGCTGGGGTCAGGGTGTGAAAAGGGGGGGAGGGGTCACCATGGCAACAAATCATGCATGCAGGGGGTGGTGGGATGGGACGTGTGAACTAAAAAAGATATGACAGTGGTGGCATTAGTGACACCTCAAAGCACAACATCTGAGCCGGTGCCTCCCGGGGTGAATCAAGAGAGAGTGGAGAGCATGGGCATGAGGAGGAGGGACTTTAAAGGGGTGCAGGGATTGGGGGGAGGGGGGTATAGAGCTGCTTACAACAGCGGAGTCACAGGGGAAACAGAACCAGCTCAACCCACCCAGCCCCCCTCTCCAACCAGGGAAGCTCAAAAGGGAGCCACCAGCTTCAGAGTCAACATGGAGATGGATAAACAGCCACCTTCCTGGTCCATCCTATCAGTTCTCAGTTGACACAGACAGCCCCAAGAACGACATATAAAACAGGAACAAAGGGTGAGCGTCCTGACCTGGGCAAACCCATGGTTCTGCTTCTGAAACCACCAGCTTCACTCTGAAGCACACACATTCAAAGCCTAATGAGAGACACCCCCATGCACACGCATATGCCTGGTATGCCTGAGCACATACATGCAGCTAGGGGGACAGAGTCTCTCCACACAGAAATGTGCTCCCCACTGCCTCTGGAGCTCCGCCTGCTCCCTGTGAAGCCGATTGGAAGCCCCATCTATTAAGGAGCATCTCTGAGAGTGGAAATGGACATGGCAGGGCTCCGGACCACTCTGACCACTTACGTAAGACTCAGGTCACGGCAACATGGGTAAAAATAGCCATGGCGTGAAAGGCAGCAAACAGCTCGGGAGGGAGGGGGGGGGGCACGACACAGCTGCTGCAGCCCACTAAGCTCCCTGAAGGCCGGGCGCGTGTGGGTGGCTGTGAGATGCGCATGTACCGCCAGACAGAGAGAGAGAGAGCGAGAACGTTGCTCAGAATCCTCAAATGGCGAGTGTCGGGTCACATCCTGATCTACACTTACATCCGGCGTCAGTGTTCTTGGCAGCAGCACATGGCAGGGGGGAGGGGACCAATGGCCACCCGGGAGGGACTACAATGCAAGCCGTCTGCCTGCTGGTGTTCCATGGGTCCATCCGGGAGCCCATCTGGCACCTGAGCTCGCTACCTGGCCATCCGGCATCTAGCGATGGCCGACAGAGCTGTTAGCCACCTAACGCCCACGGCTTGCTGCTTACATAACGGCCTGTGCTGGCAGCAGCTGCTTATATAACCAGCGATCCCCCCCCCGAGATGCATCATTCATCTGGGCTGAGCTTAAACAGAGACAGGAACACAAACATACAGACTGCTAAAGCACAGCTCAGCTGGGCCCGAAAAAATAACCACAAATGAAACAAAACATAAGTAAAGGACCAAATAATATCAAAGAGAAACAGAAATGGTACTATGTGAGCTTGACTGAAACTAGACCAAGGACCTACAGAAGCACCTCCTGTAGCTGGAGGGTGCTTTTGGCCGTTTAGGACTTTCCTGTCGCGTCGCCTTACACTGTGTGGTGCTGTGACAGATGAAATCGGCCATGGGACTCTGACCCAAGCACACAAGCTAACAAAGCTTCAGTTACAACCTCAGCAGCAGCAGTTCTGTCGCCTTAGATTCCTAGGGCTGCGAGTATCTAACACAGATGCCTCCAGGCACACTAGCTGTTGACAAGACTCCTGCCGCACGGTGACCTCAGCTACCTTGTCATTACCCATCAGTTCAGGTGAGGGTACAGTCAGAGGGTACAAAGAACAACACATGAAGGTGAATGGCTGAAGAATGAAGAGTGGAGTGAATCGGGGGCTGTTCAGAGTGCAAGGTTACCCCTTTCCCCTAGTGCTGGCAGCTGTCACCTGGGGGTTAAGAGGTGATGAGGAGGTTTTGGAGTTCATGCCTCATAAACCTCAGTGGTACCTGTACTACCATCAGCTAGGACAAAGAGCATAGCCTCACTCCTGTCATACAGTGTTAAAGTCCACAGACAGCTGGCCAACCCTATGGCCAGGGAGGACAGAGCAGGACAGGCCAACCAACCCTATGGCCTACACTGAAATGCAAACACGACTTTGGCATGCACGGAAAAACAACACGCGCGACACAGCGTCAGCAACACTTTCTACCTGCTGGAGCATTTTGTGCCTAAATATTCCTGTAACAGACATTCTGAAGTGAGGCAGCTTGGCACAGCTGGGTTTTAGTGGTTGTGGCCGTAGCCTGACGTATTGTGGATGTCACCTCATGGATTAATTCTAGCGATTGTCCCAGCCTGGTTTCTGCGACCACACCCCCCTGCTTGCTAGAGAGCTGTCATTGGACAGTGACTGCATTGCTGTAACTGCTCTGTAACTAGTTCTATCTTCGCAGTACAGCTCGGCCTGGTTCCTGTATGCCAGTAGAAAAGCTATAAGCGACAGCCTTTATATGTACCTCTCCTTGAAGAAATTCCATAAACTCTACCACTCTCAAACCAAACTCCAAATTAAACAAATGCTGTCATCTGGAGTTCATGAGACATATGAAAGTAAAACGTGAACTCAGACTCTGTGGCACTGCTGTCCTTCAACGTCAGTAAAAAGCTAAAGGTGCTAGATGATAGAACAGCCGTAGCGATATAAAGAGCATACTCATTAAACATGACTGCAGCAAAGACGTCAATACCTCATTTTCACTGATGTCACTTTCTCCTGATCATGTGACCTCAAGGGAAGGAACTTAAGTGACATACTCAAAAGGACTGCCCAGATTATGACACCTGCCAACCCCCATCCAAAAAGAGAAAAAAAATTATAAGGAAAATTCATCTTAACAAGGGAGACTAGGAGGGAGGTGGGCAGGACTCGGAAAATCACACATAACTGCTGCTGAGTGGAAGGTCCCAATATCCTGGCCAGTACTCCAAGAATGCGCAACTCAGAAAATCTCACATGAACATCCCCAGCCATGCAGAGTAGGAGGGCTCACCTTCTGAAGACTGGTGGGATTCAGCTGCGTCTTATCGATGATTTTGATTGCAACCTGCATGCAGTGAGAAAAGCTGTATTACCGTGTGACAAGCATCTTGCAGCATGCAGATGGCTACATAAACTTTTTTAATCTCAAGAATGGGCAAATACCAATAAATCAATTAGAGGAAAGTGTGTTGAACTTCATTCAAGTATAAGCATCTATCAGATCCTAGATGCTACAAAGCAATTTAAAGCCATTAAATTAATTATACTCCTGCAAATAGAAACCAGCAAAATCTAGACGCAGTAGGGGGTGCCACTTGGCCAGCAAAGACTCTTAGCAAGTGAAATACTTAGCAGGACACCTGCAGGCCCAAAGCCCCACCTCCCCATGCCCGGGCTGTGCCCCCTCACCTCTCTGCCAGTGAGTATGTGCCGTGCCAGCTTGACCTTGGCAAAGTTGCCTTTGCCGATGGTCTTGAGCAGCCGATAGTTGCCGACGTGCGGCTGCTCGTCGGCCGAGGAGGTGGAGTTGCGGCCGCGAGCGCCGGAGCGGCCCGAGCGTGTTAAGACCTCAGTGCATCCATCACCATGAGAGGTGTGCTGAGGAAGGGAATGTGAGAAGAATGAGGGCAACAAATGCCTGGAAGCCAGGGAGCTCTGTTTCCCCGTAATGCTGGGGAAATGCCCAAATGCTCCATTAGATGCACACATACTGGAAATTTAATTACTTTGAAAATAGATAGATATGGGTGGATAAATGGTTAACATTCAAAACAAAGTTAGCACAAGCAGGAAGACACTGCCATATTCAAACCAGATTTTGATTCAAACAAAATTTAAAAAAAAACAAAGTAAACCAATTACTTTTATTTCAAGTACACCAAGGTCACAAACATTCATTATTGCTATTTAAATTCATGTCATATTCTGTGTATAACATTCATTAGAACTGACCGCAGTTGTTTGATGTGTAATGTCATTAACTGCAGATGGACATCAAGTTTTTCTTGAATCACAATGATTTGATGTTTTACAAACAGCATTGCTGTAGAGAAGTTGTCACCAACCAGTCAACTGTGATCAACATGTTGATTTTCAAGACCAATAATGACAAGACCATCACCTTTACCCCCCACCCCCATCTGCAAAATTCACCATCATGGTTCAGTACCTCCCCAGATCATTTCCTTTTAAAAGTAGCTCTTACTGTCAGAAAGGTTGGAGACCACTGCTGTAAAGACAAGCACAGCCCTATAAGGATAACGTCTATATGGATTATTTGTGCTTCATTTCTGCATCATGCACATTCTGCATGTGGGGCAGAAATGTCCCAAACTGTCCAGCTACACGCTGCTGCCTTTAACACTCTCACGTAGCCCCCCCCCCACCCCCACTACGGCCTCCACCCAAATAAACAATCAACACACACATCTGCTTGAAGATAAACTCAATCTGTTTACCAAAAACATTCCTGTAATATCCACATGTCATTACCCAAGTAGGAAGCACCATTTTCCTACATATTTCATAGTCCGCTTATTAAATCACAAATTAATTCACTGCGTGTCTCGGCAGTTTCAAACATACTGTCAAATTATGATTGACAGTCCCCCTGGCTTAAAGACTGTAATTTGACTTCCAAAATAAAATGTATTTAATTTACCTTAATGGTATCATCATATTATGAAAGAACATTATGTCACCCGAAATTTGGGTTTTAATCACGTTTTCCATTAAGCAGAAGTGATTATTAAATGAAGCCACCTGGAGGTCAGCAATCTGCTGCAAAAATACGCCCCTGTGGTTCTTTTTCAATTGTAAGTGCACCCCGAGGACATTTGCGCACAAATAACTGCCTCACACTCCAGTCTCGCAGGGTGTTGCGTGGACAGCCGTGCGATATAGCCCGCTGACAATCAATCAATCAATCAATCAATCAATCAATAAATAAATAAATAAATAAATAAATGGTGTTTTTTTTCACCATGGAGCGATTGAACTGGTTAAAGTGTTTGTGTGTGTGTGTGTGTGTGTGTATGCTAATCACTGCAGTTTAAGCTCCTATATTTCTAGACATCATCTCTTCTGATGCACATCATTTCCCTTCATATCAACCTTACATATCACTTTGTCGTTCAATCATTAAGCAGATAAATACGATAATAACTAAATTATGGATACACTTATCGAGATCTACTCACACTTCCTGGATCATTAAATGTGGCTCATATAAAAATGGAAGTGCCTTACCTTTTGCCCCAAATTTACCCACTAGTTTTCTATTTTTCTAGTTTTATATATATATATAGGTAGGTTTACGGATTGCGACAATATTTTGCATATTTCGAAATTAGTTCCAATTAGCGCCAGTACAAAGCATAGTAACAGCTTATACTATATATTTTTTCCTATATACAAAAGCGTGATAGTTTTACCGTGTGTTCTATTTCCACGCTCAAAATAAAACTTTGAGCTCTACTAAGCATTTTGGAGAACATATCTGTACAACGCGAAATCTTTCCAAATCAAGTTTAAAACTTGCCCTTGGAAAATCCTTCAAAGCACAGAGGTATAACCCTCAGGCGTACATATTTATTATAATAATAAATTATTATTGTTATTATTATTGTTAATAATAATAATAATTTTAAGTATTTATTATTATTATTATTATTATTATAAGGAACTTACTATAGTGATGCGGTGCCTCTTGACAGAGTGCGTGCCCTTCATCTTCGCATTGGCGATCTGAATGGCATCGAAGCAGATTGGCTTCTGGCTTTTGTGCGACTGGTTCATTGATCCGCTCGCCTTCGCCGAAAACTCAGAAAGGCGTCAAAGCACGCCGCTACCTGTCAGTTTCGGAGGGGTGGGAACGCCTCCCTCCCTTATTACAGTGAGAGACTGGCACTTCTCAGTGCCGATGCTTCCCAAAGCTGAGCGACATGCTTAGGATATACGGCATATTCTCCAGCAAGCAAGCCTGATACGTGATCGCCGCAAAATCCCGGCACTAATGCTGAAATTATGAACCAATCACACGCTAAAACATTACCGTATATAAGACATATAAGACGCTGTTTACCAAACTTAAAAAGCCATAGATTCCAATTAAAGTCGTATATTGCACCTGCATGTTAAATGCATTAAAAACTAATTCATGCCAGACTTATTACGGTAAAACGACGTCGATAATAACCTAATTAGAGTATGCAAAGATGAACTGGTGTCCGCTTGATGAAATTTGGCCAGCGGATCTGATCTTCCTCATCCATAATCTCGTTATTTAAATACGAACATTTATAAATACTCTTTAAGCGATGCCATCGTAATGCAGATCCACTCTATGACTGAAGTGGAAGAAATTCTATGCAACTTGGGCTGTTATAAACATGGGATCCGCGGGACGTCCTCCGGTGAGTGTCACGTAAAGATCGAGAGGCATCGGCATCGGCTAAATCGTGCCCAGAGATCCCGCAGGTCTCGTACGTCAGTATTACACGCGAAAAAGAGCCCTGATGCTGGCCCGATGGGAGCGGAGTGCAACTGATGAACCGCAGCCTCATAAATCTACGGACACAGGAGGAATTCACCACGTCGGTGCAAGGTGATAAGGAGCCTCACACACGTTTCTCTCCGTTGGCTGATACAGACAGCGTTGGGGGAGAAATTAGCTCTCAACCGTGTGGATCAACATGGAGCCAGTTAATTTGTGACAAAGCATGCTGTCAATACTGCGCATAAAGAAAATGTGAGACTTTACTGGAAAGGGCATTTAAATATACTTACATTTTCCGTCTCTCGCTCATTAACTGTAGGCAAAGGTGTTCTCGTTGACATTTTCAATCAACCACAGTTCCCCGGAGAGATTTTATCTTGCAGCACCTTAGCTGGGAAGGTGATAGGTAGTTCTGGGCTTGCAGATGCAGAACATGGGCTCGATTGTGAGTCTGAACCGAGATCCAAAGCCAGAATTCAGTTGGATAAACTAAAGTGCGGAGTCCCGGTTGCACATCGACTGTGCACAAGCTAAGAGCCGCACTACCCTCGCATAATCAGTGAGCGTAGCTGCCCTAGCTAGCGTGCACAGCGTTTCCGCGAAGGCCACTCATTTCGTAAAATCGCTTATATCAGTTAATACCTTTGAACCTCAAACCATTTCCCTCTGTTAGTTGTCAGGATTCCTCCCTCCTCCCATGGCCTAATGACAGGACTCAAACACTTAAAAGGCCCGCAATAACTGCACGACAAGGAGATGGAAAGTGCATGGTGAGGATGCTTCGTGTAAATCCGAATATATCCGCCTCTTTGCCGCTGTGGGGTCCGCAGGGTTAGACGCGCACCGTCTCCCTATCATGCCCACTCTGCTGCGGGCTCAGCTGCTCCCATCTCCAGAGTAAAAAATAAAAATCTGATGGTTGGATCCAAGATGGCCGATCGCTTGACTGAAGAGCACCTAACCAAAGCCCGGACAGCTGAAGGAAGTGAGCGAAACGGCGGCTGCCGGAGCTCATTGGCGCTGCCACGGGAGCGGTGCTGTTTGTTGTTGCTAGGGCGATTACAGAGCCTGCAAGACAGCGCTCGCTTAGTGCATGCTTATCATCGTCCCTCATGCCCTTATGTTCAGCCTGTTTCTGTCAGCTTCATACTGTAACAATTGACATTCCCCTGCGACTAGCTGTCCTCTGTGTCCCGTTATTTTCATACATTTATGTTAACAGTGAAGATTTAAGCTTTCCCTTCAAACATGCGTTCGACGTAAATTTAATTCGTTTAATTGTAACGATGCCTGTAGTCCAATTTGAATTGTGTAATTCGTATCCCGTCTTAATTTTTTTTACACATTCTGTGTAATACTACATAGGCTATTACATACGTATATATAGTGAAGCATAAATAGCGTATGGTAGAAGGAAGATTGCACATAGTGATGAGACACGATTGTTACTTCTTGTTGAAACTGATACATTCCAGTGTCAATAGGGTGACCAGATAATCCTTATCAGGGAGGACACTTTCGGCTACTTCAGGTTTTACAAACAACTTTAAAATTGTAGTGCTCATGTGCTTGACTAATGAAATGCAGTTTTGGTTTGGTTTGTTTCCTTGATTGAAAGACTCATCTAGCTGTATACATCGATTAACATTAGTGACCCATGCATGATTATAGAAGACGGAACAATCACCACACAACAAGAACTCCGTGCATAAGCGAAATCCAGGTCCTTTTGGGTAAAGTTTGTCTGATACAGGACTGCACTCTTATTTAGGTGTATATTTTGTCCTCGTGCTCTGCTTGCGCAACAAATTGGTCTCAGTAATAAGTGGATTCATAATTAAAGATAAGGAACACACTATTTATCTGTTTGTTTGTCCATCCTGGTGCCAAACTTTGTCTGTCGATATTCGGGCCGTTCACATCTCCCCTGTTTCTGACACACCTGTTTATAGGGAGGCCACCAGGGATGGCTGGGTAGTGTTCTGTGAGAAGGGCCAGGGAGGGATCAGCTGATATCCCAGTACTACAGGGCAAAAGACACCCATGATGGCAGCCTCTGGCACAAAGGTGGTCCAAAAAACTAGCTTATAGTGATCTATGGCTAGCTTCGCATTATTGGGAGAGTCCATCACACCTCCATGTTATATTTTCCCTGTGGCCACACAAACATCTGATCGATGTTCACAATTAAGTTACGTCTAAACAATGTAATATGCGAGGTCACATGCATTAGGCAACTTTAAATTCTGCAGATCCAATACTGACCTCACATAGACATCTTGCCAAACGACCTGAGTATTACATTGTTTAGATGTAATTTGTGTACGGCGGGCAGACACTGGCCAGACGTATGTGTGCTGTGTGTGAGTTTAGTTGCATTGCAGTTGTGCTGTTAGGGTAGACACCCTCACTTCCTCCACTCTCACTTTAACCTGTAGGGTTAACCTACATCGGCGTGTCACAAGCCTGTGTGCTGAGTCCTATCCTCTACTCCCTTTTCACTCATCCCCATATAGGTTTCCAACACCATCATAAAGTTTGCAAATGACACCCCGGTGATAAGGACAAATAAGAGGCAGGGACGAGGTGCAGCGCCTGACGGAGTGCTGCATGGACAATAAAATGGCACTTAACACTCAGAAAACCAAGGAGATCATTGTGAGCTTCAAACAGGAAATGAGCTGTAGCCAACCCCCGGCCCATTTACATCCAAGGGGCTGTTCCACGAAGCGAGCTAACCTCAAAAGCCAGGCTTATTTCGGCAATCCCAGCTAAATTTTTCCCAAATTCGATTCCACAAACGAGGCTAATCTGAAGCTCCACTAAGTTACTATGTCAACAAATGCTCTTGGACAAGCCTGCTCCATGGCAGGTTAGCTGTGAAGCTTAGCTTGATGAATGTGATTGGACAAGCCATGTGATGTCACACAGCACAACATTCTGCGGGGCTGGAATTATTCTGCTGCTGTTCTCTCCCTCTCTCACACACATCAACCCTCCAATATAAAATTATTACAGATTACATGCAGGCGATTCCAGTTACTCAGAAAATATAAAATGACAAAGAGTGCATTGAAGGCTTTTACATGAATAACCCTGGCGTGCCCGTTTATTCATAATCCAGTTGATGAGGGAGTGTGGGTCATTCATAGAGCTTTAAGGAAACAGGTTCCACAAGTACAGTACTGTGCAAAAGTCTTAGGCAATCCAAAGAAATGTTTAAAGCCATTTATCTGGGTAGCAAGTGTACTTTGGCTTAGAGCAAAAAACACAATTTAACATTAGAACATCTGCAAATTAAGAGTAACATAATACAAACTAGTAATAATTTCTTCTGTTTTCTAAAAAGTTACTGATATCTAGTTGGATGGCTAGATGAACACCGCTTCAGTTCCAAAACTTCTCCTCAGGGGCTCCTCAGCTGTTCCATGATTTTGTTAAATTTCACCAACAGCTCAATTAAATAATTAAATTAATTGGTTTCAAAAGTCAGTGACAGATTGACTAATTGTATGGGGTGAGCTAGTGGCCTAGTCAAAAAATACATGGCTGCACTGGATGGTCGCTGCAAATACTGGGGTGATTTTAGCAGGGGTTCTGAAATGGCTAAGCTGACACACTTTGACAGGCATAATATAGTTTTAGACCAACACGAGGATAATCTAAACATCATTTTCTTTGCCTGCCTAACACTTTTGCACAGTACTGTATATCACTTTTTGTCTAAGATGGACCCATATAATTAACATGCTGTCCTGTTTATAAAATGTGTTAAAATAGCCTTAAAGTACCTTACAACTGGTAACAAAATACATATGTGAAAGGAAATATTATTGTGACTATACATTTTGAAGGCTTGAAACTGTTCTCATTTAGTTGTTAAATATATTTTTATCCGTAACACAAAGGTTACTTAAGTCATGTTCTTACGCATTTAATCTGTTAGCTATTTTCTGCCATGCAGCCTCACGAGATTTGATGATGCAGCTCGTGTTCCCCTTTCTGGTTATTATGTCTTTGTAGTCCTCATAGGCTTGCAGCACTGGCGTGCACAGATAGAGACTAGGTGGTGCTGAAGCACTTGCCCTTTTGCCCTCAGTCCAAAAAAGTGCCCTTTTGAAAGACGTGATTTTTTTTTTTTTTTAAAGCTGCGCGATTTAAAAAGGTGTGAAAATAATGGCTTGATTTGTGCCCCTTCTTCAAAGACACCCGAACCCTGTCGCTTTTTCACTGTCACCGTGTCACGTGAACACGCTTGCAGTTCATTTGTTGTGAGGCGTGTAGCAGCGGCATGACATAGGACTACTTGGAGTAGGCATAGTAGGCTAACTATAGCGACTGGGAGCCACGGCGGACAACACGGCAGCTCTTTCCCTTCCCAACCAGTCAGGTAACCCATGAATCGAGTGAAATTATTCTGTTTGCCCTCTAAGACCAACCTGCAATTGTTTTGTTGTGAAGTAGCCTGTCAGAAACTGCACATGACAAACTTTGCCAGCTTGCCCCCTCCATCCATCCATATGGATAAACAAAAAAACGACACATTTAAAATGTAACCTAAACCATTTAGGCAACCCCACTCTCCATCAATTCCGACCTTTTTGCATACACTATTGAAAATATCACGTTATGCTATAGGCTACATGCCGTTAGGCAGAGGGCTCTTTTGAGCCCATTTTTCGTTACAAATTTTAGGATGATCTCACGGAAATCTGTGAATAAATACAAAGTTTTCAAACTGAAGTCAGTGACGGGAAGACATCACACTTTTTAGAGATGGAACTGCAGAAAAACCTAAAACCTTGACATGATTATGAATAATAGAATTATGGACGTTTCTCCGTTTTTGTGGATTAGCCTTTCCATAACTAACGTCAACTACTGTCCTACTTTGGTAAGATTGAAATTAATGTCTTTGACTGTCTTTAGTAGGTGTCTCCTGTGAGAAAGTTAGAACACCGTCCAACTGTCTAAAGATGCAGTCTTTAGCCTAACTGGTTGTTACTGACTCAGCGATGCTCGCAGACATTTACGCACTGTGTTGTGACCTGATTGTGACAGAACAGTGACGTTGTTATTGGTAGTTTGAAGGGTACGGTGTTGGGGGTGCATGTTAAAAGTTTTGAGAAGCACTGGTTAGACATGTTAATTTTTTTTGGTGTAACATATTGGCAACATTAACACATTAATTTGCTAAAGGAAAAATAGGCAGTTCCCAATTGCCTGTGAAAACGACCATTTTGAAATAAAAGTCAAATTGCATTTAACCTGTGCGTTTTTTTTATTATAAAAAGAAAAGGTTTTCCACATATGCAAAAAGTGCCCTTTTTTCCCCCTGGAGCACTTGCCCCCCAAAATGTCTGTGCACGCCACTGGCTTGCAGTAATAATTCTTGCTTCGCTCCATTCTTATTTATCCAGCATCGATTAACAAGGCTGCCTTTTATATCGCGTGGACGCGCACGAGCCTCGCTTGTCAAGCTTGGCTTGAATTAGCGGAAATTAAATACACCCGAATTTTGTTCGTGGAACTTAATGAGCCTGAAGTGAACTGTTAGCGAGGCTATTACAAATAATCCTCGATTTTATAAGCTCGCTTCGTGGAACAGCCCCCAGGTTTGAGTTTCTTTGTGTATACATCTCCGGACCACCAACTCCTCCATGCTGGTTACTTCCTGCGCTAGTTGAAGAAAGCCAACCTGCTCCCCAGGTGCTGTTGGACTTCTGTTGCTGCACAATGGAAAGCATCATCACCAACTATATCTCAGGTTAATATGTATGGCACCTGCTCTGCTTCTGACTGCATGGCTGTCAGAACCTCACCCATTTATTTACTGCTGCTTTCTATTCATGACATTTCATTTTATGTCATATATAGTTCCTGTTAGTTCTGTATATACTTGTATATTTGTATATCTGTACATACCTACGCTATATATTCCCATAATATGGCAGACCGTATGTACTCCTCCTGGTACGTGCTCTACACACCGACACTGTACTGTAAATTATTACGGTACTTTCTGTAAATAATGCTATTCTTGCATTTCTGGTCAGACGTTACTAACTGCATTTCATTAGCATTGTACATGTACTCTGCATGATAACAATAAAGGTGAATCTGATCTGAATCTATTCTGTAGTTTTATTTAAGTTCTGCTTTGCAATACTGACAGACGACTGAATTTTCATAAATTTTTCATGCAAATGATGGTTTGGCTCTTTATTTGGACCCTCATCTGCTGTGCTCTGTCTACCTTCTGCCATGTTTTCGAGTAATCGAGATGGATAAGTTTAATCGAGTAGTCAAGTTCAATTGACTCATTGTGACAGCTCTATAAATAACAGAGAGGTGATTCTATAGCTAATGATCATGCAGTGGATTTTGCATAAGGGAAGTTTTGTGTCTATGGTTTTCAGCAAAATTAAGACTAAAATTCATTTAGAAGCAAAAACACCAGAATATCAATGGATCCACCACCAAAACACTGAACCAAGTTTTTATATATATGACTTAAAAAACATGGTAAAGCTCTGCTATATATATGCTTATGACTTGGAAGCTGTAGCCCTCACCTTACACTTACCACCTCTCAACAGAGGTATCTTTGTGAAGCCTACAGTAACTTCCACAGTTGAGAAAGCACTCTGTGCAGCCAAAGGCCCAGGTGATTCATGCTGCAGCCAGGAAGCTCATCTTTCTGTCAATTCAGGAGCTCCATATATCCTATCTTGGCATTTGTAAGTAATGCTCAATTACAGAGATATATGGCATACAACACTTCTTCTCATTGGTTCTCAATTCCATGGTAGAAACACAACAAAAAACAACAAAGGAACAATGCACATACATATGTACAACTAAACATTCATGAATAAGTAAAACCACCTCGATATCAAGCCATCATAGATTGCACTAAGTGCGATTGGCTGTGTGTGTGTAATTTAGACACACCAAGTTATTACATTTAAGGACTGCAGTAGAAACCTGGAGGAAACCCACACTAACAGAGGAAGACTCCTATTTACTGTTATTGATGGTGTGAAGTATTATGGATTTGGGTTTCAAACTACTCCGATTATTTCTGCTTAACCTTCTCATGATTAGCACCACCTGGTGGCTAAAGATAAGCATCACAATGCTAAAATTTGTTTGTTTATTGGTGTAGGAATCTCAGCGGCAAGCAACCCAGTAAACAGCCCCTGTGGCTAGACTGTACAAGCATGAACTCAATGCAGATGGCTGACCAGATGCATGCAATTACCCAGCAGTCCTCATGGCCTTCCAAGATCAAAGACCAGATGCTGCCAGTACTCTTGCTTCATATCAAAAACATCCAGCTATGATTTGCCTCATTTAGCTGAACATTTTTGTCGTGATCCCACCCCCCTCCCCCCCAAAGTAACACTGAGCTGTATGTCTATGTGGATGTACTGCAGGAATAACGAAGGAAATCCAGAAAAACATTACAACTTCAATATCATAATTTAAGGTACTGATGCTTTTACAATGACACCAAGGCATACAAACACTTGATTTTGTTTTATGGAATAAACTTAGACAAATTACAATGTACAAGCAAGCATATGTCTGATCAATGATCTAAATACACTGTCTCAAGTGCCACAAACTATTTTGCGGAGGAGAAAATCAAAGGCCAGAATCCTGAGAAGCCCATTTAGTCACTGCAGACAGAACAGTAAGTACAATCACTATTTACTGAATCACTAAACAAGGAAAGAGAGAGGGAAAAAAAAAATACCCTCATGCAGTTAGTGATTTAAAAAAGAAAAAAAAAAAGCTGAACCAACTTTAAAAAAAAAAAAAAAAAAACTGAACCAACTTTAAAAAAAAAAAAAAAAAAAGAAGATGGTAAAGCTC